TCTTGTAGTAGGTCAATGGATTGTTGTCCGTAACCCATGTGAACCTACGACGCCCAAGGAGGAAGTGTCGCCATCGCTTGAGAGCCATGACGAACGCGAGTAGCTCCTTCTTCCTTGCATCATCAAGCGAGTTGATGGGAGACACTTTGTGGCTGAAATACGCCACAGGGTGCCAGTCGTCGCCGTCGTGTTGTTCCAAGACTGCCCCAATGTCGTAGCGGGATGCGTCCGTAGTCACTCTCGTAGGCAGGGTGGGGTCGTAGATGCTAAGGACGGGTGCCATGAGCATCGCCGTCTTAAGTGCTTGGAATGACCGGCGTGCGTCGTCATCGAATACGAATGGCACCTTTGGCGAATGTAACCTCGTCATAGGTGCAGCAATCCTTGAGTATCCGGTGATGAATCGCTGGTAGTAGCCCGCCAATCCCATGAATGAACGAACGTCCATGGTGTTGGTGGGCTAGGGCTATTATGTACTTGGCTTGTCGTAGCCGCTCCAAAACGGTGCGCAGGTGTTCCACATGCTCCTCCAAACTCCGGCTGTAGACCAGAATGTCGTCGAGGTAGATAAGTACGAAACGATCCAGCATGTGTCGGAACTCCGTTGTCATAGCCGCTTAGAAAGTGACCGGGGCATTCGTAAGGCCAAATGGCATAACCAGCCATTCGAAATGCCCATATCGCGTCTTAAACGCGGTCTTGTAACGGTCCTCCTTGCGAATCTCGAGTTGGTGATATCCTAACTTGAGGTCCAGCTTGGAGAAAAACTTGGCGCCGCCCAGTCGCTCGAGAAGGTCGTCGATGCGTGGGAGAGGGCCGACGTTCCTGATTGTCTGCGCGTTGAGCTTGCGATAATCGATGCACAACCGCAGGTCCTTGTTCTTCTTCCAGACGAAGAGAACAAGAGCACTGTATGGCGATGAGCTAGGCCGAATCCAGCCTTTCTCTAGAAGGTCGTTGAGTTGTGCGCGAAGCACACTTAACTCTTCCTCGCTCATTCGGTAGATGCAGCCGCGCGGAGGTACGGCCCCGTCCTCGAGGATGATCTCGTGGCGGATGGGTCGATCCGGTACTAGTCCATGCGGGCCTTCGAACACGTCGCTGTAGACGTCGAGAAGCTCGGTGATGCGTGGATCCGAAGGTGAGTTCGTCGATGAAGCGTCATGGGGCGGAGGGCGTGGAGAAAACACACCCCCATCTCCTCGATGTCGTCTCTGATGATGGAAGCTCGCATGCTTGCGGCGGATACCACGTGGCAGCTGATCGAAGGATGAGGAAGAGGTACCGTGCATGGAACTAATACTCCGTTCCGATCACGAATGTGAACGGTGCGGTGGAAGAAGTTCACCGGATGATCCTCGCTTCGCAGCCATGACATGCCTAAGATCATGTCAAATTTGGTGTCCAGAATGTCAAAGGACACCGCCTCACTTGCGTGAGGGGCAAAGTACACTGGGACGTTGTCAATGCACCGGTCGATGGACTTGTGCGTGTGACCGTCCGCCAACGTGACTTGCGTAGGCTGGGACTTCCTCCGGACGCGTGGGCCAAGGTTGGCGCACACCATGAAGTCCTGGCTGATGTAGTTGCGAGATGCTCCGCAATTGATCAAGGCGTTGCAGGTCGCCTCTCCGATCTGAATGCGTACATATAGCAATGGTGCGTCGATGTCGTCGTACTGTTGCGTCTTGAACTCGCGGTCGATCTTCGCAATGTAAGCGTGAAGGTCGACAACCTCTACTCCGGCGTCCATCAACAAAGCTGGTACTGCAGTGTGCAAGTAATCTCGCAGTTGTGCCATGAGCACATTGCAATGCGGTTTCAGCAATCGTCCGGTCGGGGGAACGGGCATCCACTGGAAGTCCGTGTACGTCAGTGGGTCGAGCACCTCAAGTATTGACCATGACGATGAATCCCCGGCGATAGATGGCGGCGAAGCTGCCGAATCGGTTGCCGATGGTGATGAAACCGTGCATGCGGTAGATTGTTGCACGTGGAGCGGTTGGTCCAGCGGTGGAACCAAGTGGACAGCATAGTCCTCGTAAGTGTAACGAGAACTTGCGACATTCGCGTTCTCCCCAAATGCGCAGGAGGCCGCTAGCAAGGCGGCCGAATCTGGCGGAGTAGAAGGTGGAGTCGCCTCACCTTCCGTGGAGCTCAGTTTCCCGAGCTGAGGCGGGG